AGATTTTGACAATTCCTCATGGAAGGCCTCACCCTCCTTGGGGAGTGGATGGGGGCGGGTAGGTGAGGGAATGGGAGGGAGAAGGAACTGGAATAGATATGCAAAATAAGATTGTTTCTAATTTAAATAAAAAATATAAGACCATCCTGGAGAAACCTACAGAAAAGCTGACCTGAGAAAATGGGAGTACACAGACCCCAGTCTGACAGCTGGGGAACCAGCATTGGACTGAACTAGGTCCCTTGAATGTGGGTATCAGCTGGAAGGCCAGTATTTATGCCTAGTTCACGAATGGACTTTAGGAGTCCATTACCTATGGATGGATACTCTCTCAGCCTGGATACATGGGGGAGTTTTTAGGCCCTACCTCAAATGATATGACAGACTTTGATGATCCCCCAGGGGAGGCCTCACCCTCCTTGGGAGTGAATGAAAAGTGGGATGGGGGTTGGTGGGGGTATGGGAGGATGGGAGAGGGAACTGGGATTGGTATGTAAAATAAGATTTTAAAAATTTAAATAAAAAAGAGAAAAATATATAAAAAGAGAAAAAAATTATAAATAAGAGACTGGAGAGATGGCTCAGAAGTTAAGAGCACTGACTGCCCTTCCAGAGGACCTGTAGAATATTCCTATACATTGTGTGAATATATATGGATGTAATTAGTTTAATAATGAAGCTGACTGGCCAATAGCTGAACAGAATAAAGTTAGGTAGGAGAGCCAAACTGAGAATGTGGGGAAGGAGATGGGCAGAGTTAGAGGAGTCACCAGCAGAAACAGAGAGAAGCAAGATGGGCATGCCATACTGAGAAGAGGTACCAAGCCACATGGCAAAAAAAAATAGGTAAGGAATATGGGTTAATTTAAATGTAAGAGTTACTAGTAACACGCCTAAGCTATTGGCCAAGCATTTGTAATTAATAGTAAATCTCCATGTTGGTTATTTGGGAACTGGTGGGTGGAAAAGAAACATCTGCCAACAAATGGTGCCCAATGAGGGGCATGACATCCATATAAAACGTAAGAGAGCTTGGGAAAGGGTTCTAGACACACAAGAGCATCCAGCTATGGTACAGGGCTGATCTCCTGGCTGCTGCCTGCGAACTTGAGCAGCCAGTGTACCATGAGCTAAGCTGTGTGGTGGGTCCCTGCAGTCTCTCACACCAGCCACAGTAAAGAAAAGCATCTCCTGACAGCTGCCTACAGAAGGGAGCAGCTACCAAAACAGAGGCAGAGGTCCTAGCCACTCTGCTTAGCAGTCTAAAGGCTCAGAAAATTCTGACTGCAAACATAAAGAAATATCTTAGTAAAACTACAAAACATATAATGTATATTTTACCTGCTAAATGTAAAACAAAAATAGTCTATACTTGCATTAGTGCAAAAATGCACATTACCTTTAAAGGTTTATATATTTTCAGAACAAAGAGCGAAAACACCAGTAAATGCAGATGGCCCAGATTATCCACTATCCCCGAGCGCTTCTGTTACAATTTCCTTTGTGTTCTGCATCCAGAACAGCTTTAAGGTTTCTGGCAGAGATAGATGATCCTGCCTCACAGACTGCTACAGCCAAGATTTAACAATTATCCTGACTTTTTCAAGGTTCCCTCAAAGACGTCAACACCCCCAAACAACAGGAATTAGTCTAGAGAATAATGCCTACATTCCTAAAAAATGGGTTATGGATGTTTATTATCATTTGGGGGAACATTGTTACAAAATGTTATTGGTCATATTAAAAAGAAGCAAAACAAAGGAGTTAAATTCAAAGATTTCTTTCTAAAGGAAAAAAAGGGGGATAGGATATAGGAATGGTAGGCTAAAAAGGTAGATCTTTATCTACTTTTAAGCCAAAAAAGCAACTATCAGTCTTAAATATTTTACATTGGTATGGATTTTTGTATGTTGATACAAATTTGAGGTTATTTTTGTTATACTGTATATATGTTTCTACTCTTAAGATATTTTTGTATATTGGTACAAATTTAAGGTTATTTTTGTTAGAACATAGTGCCCTTACGTTTTTCTACTCTTGTTTAATGTATATACCTATGCAGCTCATTTAACAATGTAATATAAATTTCTAGTCCTTAAAAGTTATTATTACAAACTATTTAGGATAATAAAGAAATGTAGGCTAGTAGTTAGTCACCTATTATAATCAAACTTGCAGTCATATTAGGTATGTTTTCAAGATCACACAGAGATATATTTCAGATAGATGATCTTTAAACACTTCAAAGACTTACAGAATATGGCATTTAAAATGTTTTAATAATAACTTAGGTTTTTCTTGACATGAGACAAATCTGCTCCTGGCAGCACTGATCTACTTCAAAAAGGATGATGGGCATTGAATAAATTCCATATGGATTTTGCTTTCTTTGTGGTAAAAACTAGCCATTTGGGCAAGAAACTGTCCTTGTCTTGACTACTGACAGCAGGACACAAAGAAAAGTGACTGTCGAACTTTATTAACACAGGGTAGGACAGTCCTTCAAATTTTCCTGCTTCTCAGAAATATCTTTCAGATACACTAGGCATGTGGGCCAAAGATGGACACCCCAGTGTTACAGAAGAACTTAGGGTGGCTTGTCCAGGAAGTCAGATGTCCCTGTCATTAGGTAACATTTCACTCTTCTGGGGTCTTTGATGGAGTTGAAGACGAGACAGGTGTAGTTAGTTTTTCTTAGTTATGTTAAAAGATAAACTAGGTACAAAACTTTAGAGCCACAAATATAAAGTAGATAATGGAATATTTTCTCTAATTTTGCCAAATATGAATGAACAAGATACTGTAATTCTTACTTGATAACTGTTTTTGTTTTATATAACTTTACTCTGTTAAAATTAAAACCTTCCTTTTTAATTGGACAAAATGGGGGAAATGTGGAATATTTCTGTACACTGTGTGAATATATGTTACTATGATTGGTTTAATAAAGAGGCTGACTGGCCAATAGCTGGACAGAATAAGTTTAGGCAGGAGAGCCAAACTGGGAATGTGGGGAAGGAGATGGGCAGAGTTAGAGGAGTCACCAGCAGAAACAGAGAGAAGCAAGATGGGCATGCCATACTGAGAAGAGGTACCAAGCCACGTAGCAAAGGCTAGATAAGAAATACAGGTTATTTTAAATGTAAGAGTTTGCTAGTAACAAGCCTGAGCTATTGGCCAAGAATTAATAATTAATATTAAGTTTCTGAGTTGGTTATTTGGGAACTGGAGGGTGGGAAAGAAACATCCACTGACAATGACTAGGTTCAATTGTGGCTCACGACTGTAACTCCAGTTTCAGAGGATCTAATACTCTCTTTTTCCTTCTACAGGTACCAGGTACAAACACAGTACACAGACATACACAAGGCAGGAAAATCACAAGTTGAAATCCAGCTTCAGGTACATAGTGAATTCCAGGTCATTCTGTCTCAAGCCCCTCCTGGGATGGAGGGAACATGTACACATGACAACATAGTGCTAGGAAGTAGTAGCAGAAAGTGCTTGGACTCCCTGAGGTGACAAAGCCTCTATAGAAGAACATAACGCACACAGGAGGCACAGGCTGGTTATGATGAGTGGCTTTGGCTAGAGACACTTTCTTTTCCCACTGGATTGTGTTTCCATGAAATAGATTAATGCTTCGGGTGGTTTCCAATGGTTTCCTTGTTCTCCCACACTCCCAATACTTCCTGTTTGTCTCTAAGGAGGTGAAACTGACCAGTGGTGTGAAGGGTCAGTGAAGGCTTCAGGAACAGGGGACCCGGAGCTCTACTCTTGGAGTGGCCACCTAAGTTGCTCTTTCATCCTAGGAGAGTCTTGAGAAAATCTTCCCGGAAGGGTCAGTGATTAGATCAGACAAGGAATGGAGAACTCTGGCCTGTGCTCAGCAGGCACAAGTGCTAACATTCCTAAGGATGCCAAAGGCTTCTGCCCATGGAGCTGGGGCTAGACAGATCTTTTCCTCCACACATTTATTTGTAAAACTACTTCTATTTTCTCTATCATCATTTCTTTAAGGTAAAGGGTAGTAAGCTTTCATTACTTGGCCACAAGATAGTTAGGTAGTTGTTCTATTATCATTTATTAATTTTCCACCACTGACTAAACTATTAAAGGGTGACATCTCAAAGGTTTTAGTGTCTAGGAATGTAGCTCACACTCAGCATGCACAGTCCATAGCTAAGTCCTCAGACCCCAGTCCCTGCATTCAAATGACTGGAGCATTGGTTTGTCCATTGCTTTTATGTTTGTCACTATTTAATCTGTATTTTTTAGATAGAATTTCTTATATTCCTGGCCCAAATTCCCTAAATTGCTAAGAATGACTGTGAACTCTGGATCTCCCTGATTTTGTTTCCCAAGAGCTCAGGCTATGGGAGTGTGCCAAACATCTTTCTCTGCTGTTATTTTAAGTACTGGATTGTATCATTCTCTATAGTGGAACTAATGGAAGGCTTCACTTCTCTTCTTTGAACACCACTGCTATCTACTACAGGCAAAACACTGGGCATGCTTGCTGTTCTTACAGAGTCCATCATTTAAACTGGCAGAAGAAATAATGAAAATATGAATAAAGGCAAGCATAGGATGAATTGTACACACAACTAAAGAGCAATATAGGACTTCACAGATAATTCCTGGGAGGTTGCATCCACAGCAGGTGTGCAGGTCTTGTCTATGCAGTGGCCAGAGGACATCCTCCCAGGGGGTTCATGAACTGACCCCATGTTGATCTCTGTCCTCTAGGCTCAAAATTCACCATCCTCATTGACAGAGAACTTTCCACTGCTCCCACAGAGTCTCACACCAACACCACCCATCTTACACCAAATCAATGCTACACAGTGACCTGACATTGATGAGTCCTGCTTCACGGACAGAATACCTGTGAACACACAGGGACATATTACTAGTAGACAGAGAGGGTAAGTGGCTCAGGTTTTCAGTTCACAGGTTCTAAATCTATTACACAGACATAAGTGTGTTGTTGTCCTTACCTCAATGAGACAGAAAATGATAATCAAAACTGTCACTACTACAGTTACAGATATTGCCAAGATGACTTTGTTGTTGTAGCCGTATCCTGGAACTTCTTTTGTGAGCTAAAAGTACAAAATAAATGAATAAATAGACATTGCTGTTGTCAAATAATAAAGTAAAAAGAATGAAAGAAGGTGAAGAAAAGTTGTTCAAAATTCATTCTTGATCTGTTCATGGTAACTTATGTATCTAACTTAGCAATTGGGAAGTTAAGATAGGAGGACTGTCATTAGTTTGACACCAACTTTGGCTACATAGTGAGCAGACCATTTTGAACTATACAGTGAGATTTTGACTCAAAGAACCAAGATCTGGGGATGAACCTCTGTGTTTGAACCCTTTGCTTAGCTTGTAATAGGTGCTGGCTTTGACCTACATTGAAGAAAACGATATGAATAAAAACCCTAAACACATTATTCCAAGTGAGTAGTTTTCAATGTGTTGCATGCTTTATTATTGTACATTGTATTATATCCTGTGTTTTAGGTCTGCTTTATTTAGAAATACAGTGGAAGGTAGGTGTGGGAAACATATAAACATATAAACATATGGGAAGTACTGGGAAGCAGAGGCAGGTGGATCTCTGGGAGTTCCAGGACAGCCTTGCTTGCTTGGGAATTCCAGGAATCCAAGGCTACACAGGGAGACTCTGTCTCAAAAACTAAATAACAAAGCACAACAAAAATACACACAAACACAGTGGGAATCGCTGTCTTGGCTGGGCTAGAGTTACATAGCCAATACAAGATCTAGAGTGGGAGCCCCTGGTCTTTCTGCTTAAATGACTGAGAAGGCTAGGTCCCCACATTCCAGCACTGTCCTCACCTGACTTGGTTCCAGACCCTTCTGTTCACCTTGGGCTTCTGTGCTCTCATTGATGTAATTCTCAGTTTTCCACTGGTCTGTATCCCAGTCTGTCCTGGACAACTTGAATTCTTGTTGCTCACTGAGAAGCTTCATCAGGAGGCCTGTTCTGGAGATGAGCTTGGCACAGGACAGTTGCACGCGGGTGTCAGAGCAGTCCATCTTCAAAGTCCTTATAACGTGAGAAATAAGCCTTCTCACGTTGTTGTTGGGGATGAGGGGCCGCAGCTGCTGGTTTAGCTGAGATTCAAAGTGTTCACCCGGTGACATCAGCAATGGATAAGCAAATTCCTTGTAATGGTGATGTGAGTCGAAATGGTCCTGTGAGTCTAAATGGTCATGTGAGTCTAAATGGTTCTGTGAGTCTAAATGGTCATGTGAGTCTAAATGGTTCTGTGAGTCTAAATGGTCCTGTGAGTCTAAATGGTCATGTGAGTCTAAATGCTCCTGTGAGTCTAAATGCTCCTGTGAGTCTAAATGCTCCTGTGAGTCTAAATGCTCCTGTGAGTCTAAATGCTCCTGTGAGTCTAAATGGTTCTGTGGGTCGAAACGGTCATGTGAGTCAGAGTCCAACATGAAGTCTAAATGTGGCTCTTTGGTTTGCTGAACAGTTGGAATTAAATCAGATGGAGGCACATTAGACTCTAAAGCAGGAATCTCAGGGGGTGTATTTTCTGATGCAGTGTCTTCAGGTATAACGATGGTTGGTCTGAAGATGGTTTCGTCACTATTATCTATTGCATCCTGGTTTTCTTCAAGAAGTTTTTCTGTAGGAGGTTCTGAAGCAGCATATGATTCTGAAAAAGGCTTTTCTGCATAAGTCATGTCTCCTGCAGATGAAAAGACTCCTCGTGCAGGGGAATTTACCAGGCTCCTTACTGCAGAGGATGCTGGCCTCTTTGCAATCAACTGGAAATGAGATTTTTTCTTCCTAAGGTTTCCATGTCTCTTTTCAGACTGTAAACTAGGGTTATTAGACCCCGTCATTCTTTTCACATTGGCATTTGCACTTTCTAAAACAAAAATGGTGTAAGACAAGTCTTTTCGTCTATCTATGAACTCAGGTAGCGAATTTGTAGTGGGAGCTTTGTCCACCAGGGACGGTTCTGGGGAAGAAGACACTGCCTCCCCGGGTTCTGTTGGAAGCACTGGCTCTGAGTGGAAGGAATTTCCCACTAACTTCCTGGGCTTCTGCACCAGACTGAACTGCTGCAGCTCTGTGGTGGGTGGGCCCCTGAGCTGCCCATCTTTGGCGATGTTCTCCACAGGTGTCCGGACACTCTGCTTACTCCACAGGCTCTTGTCACTCACTTCCTTGAAGTGCCTTTTCTGTATGCTTCCTGTCCCCTTGAGCACTGTGTCCATCCTGTGGAGGAGTCCTTTCTCTGCCTTCTCAATCTCTGCAAGACTGTCTTCCTCTGCACGGGCAGGTTCCCATCTCTTTTCAAATATTCGCCATTTAAATTTGGGACTCAAGCGGCTAGACTGATGCATAAGCATGGCAGTTTTCTCTTTCTTCCTAACCTCATCAATTTCTGCATCTAACAAATTCTCTAGAAAATAAAGCTTATTCAGTTTATTTTTGTAAGCCAACTTATTTGCCTTTGGTACAGGGTTAAGAGCAAGGCTCCCTGAATCATTTTTGTAGGGTTCCAGTGAATTATCTGCATTTTGTACATTAGAAAACAGCAGTTTAATGAATGGTAACAATGTTGATACTACGTCTTCCAGATTTCCCTCTGAGAAATATGGCAGTATGTAATTTAGGGCACTAATAACATCACTTTCATCGTTAAAGTCGAGTTGTTCATTCATGAAGCCTGAAGAGCTAAGATCATCTTTTTCTGAATAGCCCCTTTCCGGTTCAATAGTGAGCTCGGTGCTGGTATTCTCCTTCCGTGCCTGCAACACCTTCATGAATGGTCCTTCTGGGTTCCCTATAGATGCTTCAACTGTCAAAGAAAAGAGATTGCTTTGGGTCAGAGAATACTAGCAGCTCTTCCCCAATCCACAGTCATTCAAATAAATTAGAGGCCAGCAAATACTAGATGGAGTGCCTATTAGTGGAGACAAAGTTAACCCCAAATTTAAATCCATGGAATAGAAATGACAGCTAGAGAGGACAGTGCCAGCTAAGTGGCTGCTTGGAACAATCTACAGCATGCACACACGGTGTTTATGGAGAGATGCTCATGTTCAGTCCTCAGTACAAGCTCAAGGCTGAAATACAGGGTCTCACTAAGTTTCCCCTATGGCCTTGGAATGGGTTCCTGATGGGGCATGTCCTTCTGTATATATGTTTCTCTTAGTGCTTGATGCATAAAACACTGGCCAACAGCCAGAATAGCCAGGTAAGAAGATCGGTGGGGCTACGAGGGGAAGGAGGAAGGCAGAGAAAAGCCGGGAGAGTAGAGATGCTATGCTGCTGAAGGAGTAACATGTGGGGCATTACCGGGTAAGCCACAGCCTTGTGGCAATACATACATTAATAGAAATGAGCTAGCCAGTAAGAAGTCCTAGCCATCCACCAACAGTTTAATAATAAACTGTCTTTATGTGCTTATTTGGGGCTGAAGCAGCTGTGAGACCTGGCAGGACAGAAAACCTCCATCTTCAGATTCTGTTTGTCTCAGCCTTCTGAATAGGCGGCATTACCACCCATGTGCCACCATACTCAACTTAGAAACACTTTAAAAATCATATGATACCAGACATAATGGCATTCAGCTTTTTTTCTTTTGGTTTTTTTGAGACAGGGTCTCTCTGTATTGTTTTGGAGGCAGCATTCACCTTTGATGCTGGCAAAATAAATTCCAGTGACAGGCAGATCTGTATGAGTTCAAGGCCATCCTGAAATACTCAGCAAGTCCTAGGCCAGCCAAGCCTGCATAATGAGACCCTGTCTCAAAAACATTTAATTAAACTCATACAAGTGATCTGTGGATAGAAGAACTTGAGGCTGAGCACAAATACAGAGCTGGCCAATTTAGGCATGCTCCATTAGGAGAGCCAGGTGGCACTCACTGCTTCTATAACCAGAAGCTCTTGGATTCTAAATAAAAGGGCATCACAGTGTTAAAAACACTGCAAAAGAGAATCAAACAAAACCATCTACACTTGCCCTATAGGTCAGGAGTGCCTGAGACCATACACATAAAGCCAACTTTGGATGGCAGTGCCACATACAAGTGACCACTAAACTGAAGTACCAAGCATAGTAGATATAGTTCACAGAGGGTGAACATTTTTGTTGCCCCTCCTGTTTCACTCCATCTCTTACTCTTTTGTGTATGCAACAGAATATATATATATATATTTGTTTTTTCAAGACAGTATTAATAAACTAAATATTATTAACTATAGCTCTTACTTGATACTGTTTTGTTATATATAACTTTACTATGTTAAAGTTAAATTCCTTTTTATTTAGACAGAAAAGATGAGATGATGGGGGATGTTCTTCTGTATATATGTTTCTCTTATTGGTTGATGAATAAAACACTGTTTGGCCAATAGTCAGTAGAGGCAGGAAGATAGGCAGGCCTAGGAGACAATTCTGGGAAAGATAGGCAGAGGGAGACCATGAAGAGTCGTCATGTAGAGACTGGGAGGATAGGATGCACCAGGTGTTCTCTGGTAAGACAAGGCCATGTAGAAATGCATAGATTAGTAGTTATGGGTTAATAATTAAGACAGAGCTAGTCAATAAGAAGCCCTAGCCATCAGCCAATAGTTTAATAATTAATATAGCGTCTCTGTGTGTTCATTTGGGGCTGAAGTGGTGGGACCTGGCGGGACAAGAAAATCCAGCAACAAGACAGGGTTTTACTATGTGGCCCTGGCTGTCCTGGAACTCACTTTGTAGACCAGGTTGGACTTGAATACACAGAGATTCCCTCTGCCTCTGCCTCCCCAATGCTGGGATTAAAGGCATGCACCACTGCAGCCACCGTCACCATCACCACTTGGCTATTATGTATATACCTTTAAAAGATTAATTTTTTTGTGTATGAGTGTTTTGCCTGTATTTATGTATGTGTACCTCATGTGTTTCTAGCCTGCAGAGGTCATAAACGAGCATTGGATCCCCTGTAACTGGAGTTATGAATGATTGTGAGCTACCGTGTGGCTGCTGGGAACTGAACCTTGGTCCCTTGCAAGAGCAGCAAGTATTTTAAACCACTAAATTATCTAGCTTCCTGTGTGTGTGTGTGTGTGTGTGTATACATATATGTACATACACACATATATTGTGTCTGTATGTGCATGATGCAAGTGGGTACATGTGTGATTGTTTGAGTCTGGAGGTAAGAGGGCAATTCTGTGAAGTTTGTTCTTTTCTTCCACCTTTATGGGAGTTACAGGAATTGATTTAGAACACCAGATGTGTGTGGTAAGCATCTTGACCCTCAAAGCTATCTCTTTGGCCCACAGAACATTCACATATATAATAATGCAATAATATCTGAGAGCCCAGTTTTCACAAGAAATTCAGAATTTAGGGAGTTTTGTTATACATGAATAATAAACAATTATTAGTTTAAATTTTAGGAACATCACAGAAGTGGATGTGGTGGTAGAAGAGGACCAGGAAGTCGCTGTGAGATTTTTGTCATTTAGAAATGACAGGTAAGTTACACCCATGATGACCTCAAAAATATGGTTGTCTACAGAAAACTGGAACAAGGACAGCACTAGTAGACAACTAAAGGGACAATATCACGAGGTCACTCCTAGACAAAGAACTAAAGAGGGAGAGTTAGTCTGTCCCAGGATGAGCCTCCTAAATGGTTATCCAATAAAAGTGGTCACCATTAATCATACACACACTAGCAACACCAAGAAGACTCTGCAAGACTTATTATATATTTATGCATTTATATATCTGTATATGTAGCAATAATAATCAAAAAGAGTCAATTTGAGAGGGAGTAAGGGGCAATATTGGAGAGATTGGAAGGAGGAAAAGGAAAGCAGGAAGGGAAGTGATGTAATTATTTTTAATTAAAATAAAAATAATTTAAAAAGAAAAAAATTATCTTTACCAGTTAAAAGTTATATGTCAAAATTAAGACATTTATCACTAGGCAAGAGACTCACGACAATGTGTGATGTTTGTCAGACATCCAGTATGACAATGCAGTTTGATTGTCTTGCAGACAACCTCAATATCACTTTTATATTTGCAGAGGCAGCAGGCCATGTGTCTAGGTAAGACCCTATAAATGGAAAAACAGAGAACTGGTTTACTGGGAAAGTCTTTTTTTTTTTTTTTTTTTTTTTTTGGTTTTTCAAGACAGGGTTTCTCTGTGGCTTTAGATGCTGTCCTGGAACTCACTTTGTAGACCAGGCTGGCCTCGAACTCACAGAGATCCGCCTGCCTCTGCCTCCCGAGTGCTGGGATTAAAGGCGTGCGCCACCACCGCCCGGCTACTGGGAAAGTCTTACTGAGGTGCAGAAGAGGCAGGTCAAGGCCACCATAGGGTTGTAAAAGAAGGAGTTCTTGAGGCATGCGACACGGGCAGTTAGGTGTGGTCTCAATAGTAAATTACTGCTCTCTGATATTGAAAGTAATCATGAAGGAGGACAGAGGTGCTCAAAGGGTGTGGCCAGGGTGAGTTTGTGCCTAAAACAAAGGTGACAGGAGAAGAAATAGGACATGGACTGCAGAAACCTCTCTCCTCAGCTCAAGTCTGCCTCTGGGTTGGCCATGTACAAGAAGAGGCCTGAGCAAGCCTTCACACTAGGGATACTTTATTCCTGTTATGAATGGGAAATACTAGAAATCCTCTCAAACCTTTAACAGTCCAGTTTAAACTATATTGTGTAGTTAAATGGCACTAGGGACCATAATGACCAAGCCTGCATAATTTGTGCTGTTGAAAGAATAAGGACAGGGGGTGCAGTTCTTTGGTATAGTGCTCCCGTATCAGTGAGAGGTCCTGTCTCTCTCTGTCTCTATGTCTCTGTCTCTCTCTGTCTCTCTCTGTCTCTCTCTGTCTCTCTGTCTCTCTGTCTCTCTGTCTCTCTCTCTCTCTCTCTCTCTCTCTCTCTCTCTCTCTCTCTCTCTCTCTCTCTCACACACACACACACATACACCAGAGGCCACAGTAAAGTACAATGTAATTGTAAAGAGAATCCATGAGTTGATAATAGTACTCAAAAACAAAAGCAGGGTAATTCTGCAGCAGATCACCAGTTAAAAATGTGCCAGTTTCAACCACCAACTAACAATTGCTTCAGACAAGATTATCATTGGTTCACACTGGGGTGAAAGATGCTGAGGGGACAATGTTTGCTACAGTAGCAGTGAAGGCCCACTAGGAAAAGCTCTCTCCTTCTGGTCAAGAGGATGGAACTCAGATCTGGGGTATTGGTGACACCATGCCAGTTGGGCAAGTGAATCATCTGTCTCTCATGGATCACCCCTCAAGAGGGTGGAACCACCCCACAAGAAGGGAGATCCAACTTAAGCCGTGGTAATGAGACAAGAATACTTTTCCCTTCAGAGACAATCTATTTGCCTTTCTAGAATTCCTGGCCTCTCTGCAGTTGCTGTGGAGTCACCATGCCCTTCTGAGTCCTGAGAGGTGCAATTTTCACTTTTCTCCTTTTCTGTCTCATTCTTTGGGATGTTGGCCACGGCCTGGTGTGCCTTTCTAGTCCTGGGGCCTTTGTACTCTTCCCTCTTCCCTTGAAGCTTTCTGCCCTCTTTGCTATGTGGCTGACTGGCATGGCCCTCCTCGTCTTTCTTTCTGTCTGATATTTCTAGGCAGATATTAAGGCTGCAACTTTCTTGCTCTGTTTGTTAACTCTAATTGGCCTCAAGTTTCCTTTTCAGTTCATTCCTAACCCTGGTTTCCCTCGTAATATGTGGTATCTCTAGTGGGCCTTCCACAAATTCCCACAGATTATTAAGTACCACATACAAAACTAACTTGAAGAACTTCAATATACCACCTTTGGGTGATCAGACCTGACACGATAGACCATCCGGAAGGCAGTGTCAGATGTTTGACCTGAGCTATTCCTTAGGAAACAAATAAAACCAGATTGAAATGTCAGAATGTATAAAATGAACATCAGTAAGAAACCAGATTGGACGATCACAAGTTCAAGGCAACCTAGGCTACAGAAGGTGACCCTGCCTCACAGACAAAACAAAACAAAAGCTCAACAAGAACACAGACATCTCATTCAATGTGGCCACTGCCTTGAAGTAAGCATACATAGTAAAAGGCTGTTTGCATATGACTAGACATTACAGAACATGTGCTAGTAAGGAGTGAAGATGACAAGCACACAGACCCCATTTCAGATGAGCTAGCAGAAAGGCAAAGTTGTTTTGTATGCCGTGCTGGCCAGGAACTGCCAGTGTAGTTGAATGGTCTTAACTTGGAAGAACAAGTATTCACCACGATGCCTGCTTGTACCAAAACCAGGGAATCATGCATGCTGTTAAACACTCTACCCACTGAGCTACACTTCCAATCCAAATGAATACCTTTTAAAGACATTGCTTTCTCATCTACTGCTGGTGTGATATGCTGAAGGTCATGCTCAGTGAGAGAATACAGATCCAACAGCCACACACTATGGGATGTCAATTATGAGATGTTCTGGGGAAGGAAAACTATAGGGCTAGAAATAAGACTGGTGGATTACAGGGGCTGACAGTGGGAGGGGTGCAAAGGTTCAGGAGGGACCCTCAGGAGGGGGCAAACGTCTATATCAGTGATGCAATAGTGGGCAGGGAACTATGAAATCTCATTAAACTATGCACTTGAATTAATTGCATGAAAATTATCTCAATATCTGAGACTCAAGAAATAAGGCAAATCTCAAAAACATTTAAAATACAAGAAACCATACAAAATCCAGGGCTGGCAAGATGACTCAGCAGAAAGTCCAAAACCACACAAAACCACGCACATGCACCACACACACACACACACACACACACACACACACACACACACACACACACGTAAACACACAGGCATTAACATTTTAAAACCTAGGTGAAATTATTCTAAGAAAATAAACCTTACAGATGTTCCAGTTCCAGAGTCATCATGAGGATGTTCTCAAGCGTTGTCAGCGGTACTTGTGTTGTTCCCAGGTCTCTGAGGGAGAAAGCCAGATTTCATGAGGACCCATTTTCACGAGTGGTTGTGTAAACTCTGTCTTTCCTACACAACTATCTGTCTCAGTAATTTATTGTTGGGGTTGGAGAGGGCTCAGATGTTAAGAGCATGTACTGCTCTTGCAGAGGATCTGAGTTCAGTTCCAGCACCCATGTAGGGCAGCTCACAACCACACGGGGTTCCAAACTCCAGAGCGTCTGCTGCCCTCTTTTGACCTTTCTGGAGTGAGCATATTAATGTGTGTGCATACACACACACACACACACACACACACACACACACACACACACACAGGTAAACATAAATAAAAGTAAAATCTTATTGCCATAGAAGATTATTTCATAAAACTCTTTTGGAAAAAAAGTAAGTTTACTATTCAACAAACCTGTCTTTTTTGTCATTATCTTACTTCTTGTTTTGATACTGCATTCACCCTACTACAACTACCACTCTATATTTTATTTTTCACTTTAATTTCTAAACACTTAATTCTCATTTATTTAAAGTTCTGTCAGTGTGTATACACTATTTATATTAAAAACACAGGAAACTGGGTATTTTAATTTTTGAGATAGGGTCTCTCTTTGTAGCTCTGGTGGCCTAGAACTTACTATGTAGACCAGGCTGACCTTAAATTTACAGCAACCTGCCTGCTTCTGCCTCCCAAGTCTTGGGACTACAGGTATACACCACCACACTGAGCTTCCTTTTCATTTATTTTTATAAAAATGTTTACTTTTATTTATGTGTATGTGTGTCTGTTCAGGTGCCTGTTGAGCCCAGAAGGCAACACAGATGCCCTGGAACTAGTTCTAGATGGTTGTGAGTCACCTGATAAGTGCTGAGAACTGAACCTGGGTCCTCTGTAAGAGCAGTAAGTCCTCTTAATCATTGAGCCATCTCTCCAACCCACTTTTCTTCTTAAAAAATAACCAGAGATGCCTGATGGGGGAAGTCTTTTGTGCATGTGTTTCTCTTATTGGTTGATGAGTAAAACACTGTTGGCCAATAGGGAAGCAAGATAGGTGGGACTAGGAGATAAGGAGAATTCTGGGAAATGTAGTAGGAAGTCATCATGTGATCCTAGGAGGAGAGGACGCATGAGTTTGGTGTTCTTGGTAAGATAAGACCTTGTAGAAATATATACATATTAGTAGTTATGAGTTAATACTTAAGACAGAGCTAGCCAATAAGTAGCCCTAGACGTTGGCCGACAGCATTATAACCAACAGAGTCTCTGTGTGTTATTTGGGGCTGACACAGCACTGGTACCAGGCTGGTGGGAAGAGTTATCATAACAGGTGCCAGATTCCCTGGAACTGGAGTTATAGGCAGGTGTGAATGGCCCAGTGTGGATGCTGGAAACCACACACGGCTCCATTCTTTAAAAGAGGAGCTTTTTTTTTTTTTTTTTTTTTTTTTTTGGGTTTTACGAGACAGGGTCTCTCTGTATTGTTTTGGAGGCTGTTGGTCCAGCCTGGCTTCGAACTCACAGAGATCTGCCTGCCTCTGCCTCCCGAGTGCTGGCATTAAAGGCATGCGCCACCACCGCCCCGCCATACTGGAGCTCTTAAGCTGTTATTTTTGTCTGCTCTTCCAGCGTACTGGGGTTCTGTTCCCACATTAACATGCCAGCTCTCAACTGTCTGCAGCTCCAGCCATCTGGTGCCCTCTTTTGGCATCTGTGGGCTACACAGACATTCACAGGGAAAACATCCATACACTTGAAATATTTTTTAATTTAAAAAGTAGAGTAGATCTGGGGGGAGGAGGGAAAATAGGAAAGGAGGGAAGGGAGAGGAAACTGGGTTTGGGATGTAATATATGAAAGAAGAATAAAGAAGAAAGAAAAAAGTGGTATACAATTTTGGCTCTTTGCTTTCTGAGATGATATTCCTACACATATTTAATACATATACATCTCTATGCTCTTCAACACTGTTTCCTCCTCAGCTGAATGTCTTACCTATTGTATGCTTCTTTACCTTTTTCACATTTTTTATTTATCTGCGCATGCACGTGCGTGTGCGCGCGGATGTGTGTGTGTGTGTGTGTGTGTGTGTGTGTGTGTGTGTACATGTGCCACAATGTATATGTGGATGTCACAGGACAAAAAATGTGAACTAGTTCTTGAACTCAGGGCCTCGGGCTTGGTGGCTAACCCCTTTATTTGCTGAACTATCTTGTCAGGCCCCTACTTTTATTTCTCTCATTTGAATTTTTTTGAGACAGTTGTCTCTCAATGTAGTTCTGGATGGTCGAAGGCCGGCCATTGCCTTCCAAGTATTGGAATTAAAAGCAGGCACCACCTCTCCTGGCTTTCCATCCTTTTGTCACTGATTTTTTTTTTTTAACAATCTAGTTAATTGTGATTTAAAAAATTATTAAGGCAAAATACCCTCCTTATTTTGGAAATAAATAAGAGCAGAAATCATCTAAGGAGCCATAGGATTGTCACAATACTTACAGATATTTTAATGCTGGCAATTTATAAAAATAAGGATCTTCAACAACTGTCAGAGGGTTTCGGCTGAGAACTCTGAAAAATGCAACGGAATTTACATTACAAACATTTCAACAGCTTTAAACTTCTTGAAAAGTTTGGATTAATTTATTTGGTATGGAATATCAACATATTTAAAAAAACACAGTGTTTTTAACCTATAAACCATCCTTAGAATCCACCAACATTTCCTCCTAGGAAACCTCCCATTTGTATATAAAAAGAATTGAGAAAAATAGAAAAAAAAACGCAGGGAGGGAGAATATAAAGGAAAAAAAATGCCAAAACTTTCAGGTAAAAAAGCGAAGAAAGCCCAACAAACAAGTACACTAGTAGTAAAGCCCTTAGGTAAAGGCTTTTGTTTTGTTTTGTTTTTAGGATTTATTTGTTTGTTGTTGTTATTGTGTTGTGTTTGTTTGTTTGGTTTTTTCAAGACAGGGTTTCTCTGTGTAGTCCTGACTGTTCTGGAACTCCCTGTAGACCAGACTAGCCTCAAAATCACAGAGATCCACATGCCTCTGCCTCCCTAGTGCTGGGACTAGAGGTGTGCACCACCACCCAGCAAGGAAGGTGAGGCAAAGTTTTTTTTTTTTTCGAGACAGGGTTTCTCTGTATTGTTTTGGAGGCTGTCCTGGAACTCGCTTGGTGACCATGCTGGTCTTGAACTCACAAAGATCTGCCTGCCTCTGCCTCAGGAGTGATGGGATTAAAGAGGCATGTACCACTAATGCCCGTCGAGGGAAGCTATTTTTAATGTTGCCCATAGTTCAATGTGCTTTTCCATTTTAGAAATATAATATAATTTGTAGTTATTTCATTAATTCCCTGGCTTTGGGAGAAATAGAAGACTGTTAGAGAAGCCACAGTTGGGCTCATATCACAACCAGCCTCCATCACATATTCTCACTTGTGTTCTTGGTCAGCACAGACTGAGTAAGCCTGTATCTGTGTCAATCTGTTTTCTCCTGCCACTGGGTTCCAGGAATCCAATTTAGGTCATCCAGCTTGTGCAGCAAGAATTTTTACCTGATGAGCTATCTCCACACCTAACATCGCCTTTTCCTTTTATTTTTGTTTTTGACAGTGATGGTGAATGAACCTAGGACTTCATGCACAGGTGGCATGTGTTCTTCCTGAGGTACAGCCACAGTTTATGCTCACACAATATTTTTGATCGTATTCTTTTTTTTTCTTTATGCTTTTCAAGACAGGGTTTCTCTGTGTAGCCCTGGCTGTCCTGGAACTCCCTCTGTAGACCAGGCTGGCCTCCAACTCACAGAAATCTGCCTTCCTCTGCCTTCCAAGTGCCCCATGGGATTAAAGGAATGTGTCATCACCACACGGCATTTGATCATGTTCTTTCTAGAAAACTTTTAGAAACACAACTTTCAAGCGGCAGGTAGACTCGAGATCTGCCCAGTGGAGGACAGGGACTGCGTGGATCTCCCCAGCCTTTTCCCCCAAGTCTCTGAATAAAGCGTTTTGACTCAGAAAAACAAACAAACAAACAAACAAACAAACAAAAACCCAAATCACCCCGCGCCCCCCCTTCCCCCCGACACACAATTTTCTGGGCTGGCTAGATGGAACAAATGGCAGCTAGCAGGTAGAGGACTTACTGCCAGCTTGGCAACCATATTTCAGTCCCTGAACCCAGTGTCTTCCACTTAACACCATAGCATATGCAAACTAAATAAGATTACAAAGCTGAAATACAAATTTTAAGAATGTCTGTATAGTATTAACTATTAGACTCACTATACAGCTCAGGATGACCTTGTTCTTCTGATCTTCCTGACCTTATCTACCATGTGCTGGGGTTACTGACATGAGCACTGCCATGACAGACTTAGAAGTTAACTGTTTAAACCTCATGTACTCACTTGCGAATGCTTCTGTAAGAATTATACTTTCCTTTTATTCTTTTTCCCTAATCATGTCCCATTATTAACATTTAATTAGCCCATTGTCATCGAGACTTTAAAGATTAAAAACCATTTTAACATGTTGATGTCAATGAAAACAGTTGAGTGAAGACATCAGAGTTCATCCCTCCATAAAACAATGAATTATCAAACTGTGGAAATTTAACCAAAGGCTTGCCACACTCCAGAATTATTTATTAAAAAAAACCACTTCAATTTCTATAAGAACACTAAGATTTGTGTTGTTTTAATTTGCTCTATATCATTTCTCATCTTAGCTCCATTGTAACCTTAAAAACAGCCCACAGCCCCACACTAGAGGACACAGAATGGAGCTTTTGCTTCAGCAAAACCTCAACCCCAGGAAATTGGTGGCCTGTGGTGATATCTTGTTTGTACTCTAACAAATAAAGCTTGCCTGAAGATCAGAGGGTGGAGCTAGCCACTGGTTAACCATGGGGGTGGAGGTCTGTACAGACAGACAGGATGTGAGATGGCTGGGCAGAGAGAAGATGTACGGTGAGAGCAGACAGGAGCTTGCTCTCTTTTCAGCTGGAATGTTGGCGAGGTTAGGTATGGCTGTGGCTTGCTCCTTTGTCTCTCCGATCTTTCAGCATTTACCCCCATATCTGACTCCAGGTTTTTATTATTAAGACCAATTAGAACTTGTGCAACAGTGGCCCCTAGTTGAGACTAGACTTCTCTGTTTTTGACCTGACTGAGCGCTCTCTGGTTCTAGAAACTTCCCCAGAAGATGGTTTTGGAAAACAACTGCAGGCAAGTGTTGTAGCTGAGGACAGTGGGACAACAAAGTGCCTGTGCGGTGAGACTGACAGGAGAGCGGAGGAATAGGATGTCCACAGGAGCTGTGAGATGCTCAGAGTGAGCTTGGGAAACAAAGACCCCAAGAGATCTGCTGGGCAACAGTCATGCACACGTGTGCATGCTCGAGCCTAGGTGGGAAACAACCCAAGAATACCCGAGGAACTTCACCCCCGGCTGATCTTGCAGTTCTGCACAGGTAGAAGGGGAAGCTAATGCTGCCTCCAAAAGCACCCACACCAGAATCCCAAAGGCAGGCAGGAAATGGGTTCCTTAGAAGATGGCCAGAGAAATAAGCAGATGACCGAGACCCTGCTCCAACAAGCATGAAGTGTGTGAGGAGAGGAGAAATCCTTTCTTCTCTTCATCTGCAAGGTCCATGAGCATGAGAGCATGCCTCCCTGTGTAAAGCTCCTCAGTGTAGGAATCATGCGTTACACCAGTAGATTCCAAGAAATAAAAAATGGTGAGCCTGCATCTTAACTATGGTGGTAAGAGCCCCACAGTGCTTAAACTTGTGACAGGAAAGATGGCCATGAAGAACAGGCAAAGGTGGCTTGAGCCAGCAAGATCTGTGTTCAAACTCTGGCTCTGTACTTTCCTAGTGAAGAGATGTGAATTAAGACTGCCTGAGACCCGAGTTCTTTTAGTAACATTTTCCTCATCAAGAAGTCCAGAATTCAAAGGTATCTAGAAGGGGCATGGCCAAAGAAGGTGGTTCAGTACTAGTGACTTTGTATGTACAATGGGCGAGGGGCAGGAACTCTGGGGATGCCAGATACTAGTGTGCTCAGGAGCTCTACAAGTATGAATTTCTCTTTTATTTTTATTTTTTGGTTTTTCAAGACAAGGTTTCTCTGTATTGTTTTGGAGGCTGTCCTGAAACTTGCTCTGTAGACCAGGCTGGCCTCAAACTCACAGAGATCCGCCTGCCTCTGCCTCCCAAGTGCTGGGATTAAAGGCGTGCGCCACCACCGCCCGGCAAGCATGAATTTCTTAGAGGGAATGCAGCTCTCTGCTTCATAGGTCTGATCTTAGCTAGGGTTTTATTGCTGTGAAGAGATACCATGACCATAGCAACTCTTATAAAGGAAAACATTTAATCGGGTGGCTTACAGTTTCAGAGGCTTAGTCTATTATCATCATAGTGGGACTTGGCAGCATGCAGGTAGACATGGTTCTAGGGAAGGAGATGAGAGCTCTACATCTTCATATACAGGCAACAGGAAGTGAACTAAGTCATTAGATGTGGCTTGAGCATATATGAGACCCCAAAGCTCATCTCCACAGTAACACAATTCTTCCAACAAGGCCAAATGCACTCCAACAAAGCCACACCTCCTAATAGTGCCACTCCCCTTGGGGGCCATTTTCTTTCAAACCACCAAAGGTGCTATTAGAAGTAGGAGTCAAGTTCATATAAGATACGATGCACAAGCTGGGCAGTGGTGGCGCACACCTTTAGTCCCAGCACTCAGGAGGCAGAGGCAGGTGTATCTCTGTGAGTTCGAGGCCAGCCTGGTCTACAAGACCTAGTTCCAGGACAGCCTCCAAAGCCACAGAGAAACCCTGTCTCTAAAAACAAAACAAAACAAAAGATACAATGTACAAAAAGCTGGGGGAAGCTGTTTAGTAGTTCTGCCACTTGTTAATGATGTGAGCATAGACAAGTGAGCCAACATCTCTCAGTTTCAACTTTATCAATTACAAAATGTGGACAATAATGGTTTCACTGCAAGAGTTTTTGGGAAAGTGAAAATAGTGACATGTTTGAATATGTACTACATACCCACTATTTTTGAAGGAGCTTCATGGCATTATTTAATTTGTTTTAGTATTTCATATAGTGCCTGGAACATAACATCTCATAGACGTAGGTATCAAAGAATTGTTATAGGCAGGGGAGAATTACTAGGACTGCAGGAGAAGGTGCCTTCTCACACCAGTGGGAAGGATAGGATGCCACAGAGAGAGCAAAGGTATCACAATGTTGTGATGTGACCCTCTAAAAATTGCTGAATGGTTACAAATTAAACATCTTGTCTAGATCATCCCAAAGAACAGACTTGAGTTGCTGTTTTCCTCTTTAATGTTTGTGCTTGTCAATGTGAGAAGTCAGCTGCCAGGATCCTGTGCAAACCAAAGGGAGGATCAGGACCTAAAGGGAGCAACTTTTTTTTTAATACTATCAATATTTTTATTATTTTATATGTGAGTATTATGCCTGCATGTATGTATTTGCACCACATATGGAAATCAGAAGAGTGCATTGAGTTCCCTGGAACTGGA